AACGATGATGATGATGAGGACGATGACAACGCCAATGCAAAGGGCAAGAAAGTCGAGAAAGCCCGCGCTAAGAAAGGACGACTCGTTATCAGGCTTTCTCGGGCTACAACACAAGAGCAGTCTCACCAAATCAAGGACACTCAAGGAAATATCATCAGTGAGACTCGCTCCAAGGTGCGTCATGATCTTGCCTCTTCATCTACTCCTGTGCAAAGAGTGCAAACTGCCATCAACCTGGCAGAAGAGTTAGCTTTATATGACAGCTGCTCTGACCTTGACACAATAAACCGGGCTAACCCCATAGGTGCAGAAACTGATATTTTCAGTTTCCGAGTAGAAGACGCAGCATCTAGCCCAACTGCGCATGCACAAGCCTCACCTAGCCACTCTGCTGCCTCCCAACAGGTAGTAGTTTCACATATAGGGGATATTATACCCACCTCGCTGTCTCCTTACGAAGCAGCTGAGGATTTACTTTGTGGTCTTCCGCCCCAGACCACTACCCCTCCTTCTAGCACATTGAGTCTAGTTTCCACCATCCCAACATTTTCAACATTTTCTAGGACACATACACTTCTCACACCACCGCACACGACAGGTGCACTCTACTTGTCCTCAACGATCGGAGATACGTCGATGATGATCGGAAGTCCTGCTGCTCAACAGATATCTCCATCATTATCTGCAGGCCACACATCGGTAATCTTTACTGATGCTGTGACAACGGTTACTACCCCTGTAACCGGACACCCTGACCCTACCGACCTTTCAGTCATTTTGCAGCGTTTCTTGGATTCCACCATTAAACCATGGGTGCACGAAGCAATAACCGCTCGGGCACAGGAATTCAGGAAAACCCCGGCGTTGCTTAATGACATCATCCAACCTCAACCATCATCCTCACATACCCAACAAACCCAACCACTTCCTATCATACCTACCCAACAAACCTCTGAACCATCCACTACCCTACCTCACTCGCCTACTGCTTCAAGGGGAACCCAGGATACAGAACTAGTGTCCTCCCCTACTTCGACCACACCTTTTCCTGACCCTAAAACTTTACCGTTCGAGGTACTCGAAAACCTTATGCTAGATCAACTACTAGCTACCGAAGAAGGCAACCTAACCCAGAAACAAAAAGACCTTCTTCGGATCCTTAAGCCTGACAGCTCATGCCGTGATAGTCTCCTTGGTCACAAACGTTCGCATGAGGACCCCGATGACTCGGATCCTCATGAGGGGGAGAACAAGAGACAAAGGATACTTGAGCGTGATGCGTCAACAAGCCAACCTTCTACGCAATCCAACCAACCTGAATCCTCGAACAATCAGCCCCCACCATCCACTCAACATAAAAGCCAAACAGCCAACTCACCCACATCTAGCCCGGTCGAGCTAGAAACAACACTCCTAGGCTCATCTTTCATAGATGTAGACCAAGGATGGAGTGGAAGTCCTGAGGTTGCTACGTCGAGTACACCATTTTATTCAGGCCATCAGAAAGAACCTAGTTCTAATCTGATGATAACGGGCAATCCTGAGGATCCCGGTGTTTCACATGACAGGTCGCCTTCGACACAACAACAAGCTCACTCTAAGCCCTCTGGTAATCAAATACAAGATGAACTGGAAGACCTTCTAGTTCATGATCAGTGGCCTCGCGAGTGGACAGAGTGGGATGATCTTAGAGTGGAAGCGGAACAGTACGAAATGTGTCGAAGCTGGCAACTCAGAGAATTCCTCAACAAATATCATGCACAAATGATTGGACTCGATGAAGATGAACTCAAGGAAGGGGAGAATCATAAAGAAAATCCCAAGGCACCAGAACCAGTCAAAGAAAAATGGGAAATTGTTAGAATCAAAGCCCCCTTCCTAGAAGAAATCCGAGAGAAAATCTGGCGACAACCTGAAAAAATCAAGAAGTTCAGTGAATTAAAGATGCGAGGAATCAATCACTTGAAAGGAAAATACCGAGGAGGAAACCTGTATATGCTAGGACACAGATCCACAGGGGAACGAAGACAAGTTCTAAATCATAATCTTGCAACAAGTGGATGTCCTATATCGAAAATCCTGGATATCACAGAAGACTACTTGGAAACGATTAAGTTCCTGATCTTTCGTCTACAACGTACCGATGGCTCGGAGTTCACCTGTCAAGAGAATGACTTCTTCTTACTGCATATGGATGATATTTATCAAATGTTCATGAGATGCAGGGAGCTCCCAGTGCACAAAGACAGACTTGCTAGAGAAGGTTTTGAGGCCATTAAGAGATTCATGACAAGACAAGTTCGGTTCTACGCCTCCCATGATCTCCAGATGACTCTTGAGCACAATTATTCAAAGGCGAATCTTACACGACCGGACTTGGATAGACCTGGGCTTGAAACCTTTACAGCATATTATACATTTGACAAGCCCATCTCAGTCATCTATCTGAATCACAAAGAAGAGAAGCGTCTGATGATTGTTGAAGACATTCAAAAATACTGTGATGGGACCCTGCAAATCATCCGAGAACAGCTCCAGCCAAGGAAAGAAGATCTAGATAAAAGACAGAATGAAGCCTCGAAGGAAGAAATCAAAGAATTGGAAAGAGTCAATAAAATCTTGAAAGCCATCGAGAAACAACTTGACAGAAGAAGGTCACTCAGAAACTACGAGCATGCACTAAATCTCAGAAAGCATTATTTTAAAGCTCAGAAGTGAAGAAAAGAAGAAGCAAGAACATCTGATCACAAAGGGGGAGATTGTTAGAGATATTTTCATTATATTGTGATCAATGTTTCTTAGCTATTTATATTTAGCATCTTAATTAAATAGACTAGCTAGAATAATGAATAGGCCTTTTAAGGCAATTTGTAATAAAAGGTTTTATACCTTTTTAGGTATGGGCCTCCTAGAAAAAGGAGCCCAAATGATTGTAAAACCTACCTTTCCCGTCAGGCTATATATATGCCTTAAGGGAAAGGCTAGGTTAAGCTTTTCTAATATTCCTAGTGCCGCAGTGCCTATTCTTGTGATAGGAGTTTTACGCTAACATTCATATCATTCTGTAAACTTCTTCATCACATCAATGGAAAGCTTCATTCCCAGATCTATCTTCCATACATACACATTCTAGACTAGAAAACAGGGACCTAACATATATATATATATATATATATATAATATTACTAATAGCTACGTAGTACTCCCTCCGTTCCGCTATTAACTTCCTGTTTTCCTCTTTGGGACGTCCCAAAATCATCTTCTCATTTCCCTAAATGGAAAGTTTTCCTACATCAAAACAATGTCAAACAGTGTCTAAACAGTGTCTAAACAATAAAGTCAAATTTAATTCCTAAAAATGTGTGAGGGTCAAAGTAAGAAGTTAAAAACGGGACGGAGGGAGTATAATAATAGTAATAGTACTTATCCAAATAGTGATACTATTGTGAGCGGTGTTAGGGTTGAAGCTCGTAGCTCGCCAGGAGGTGGCCGACTAGCAACAGAGTTGTAAGCAAGAGCGGGAAGATGTCTCACAGGAAGTTTGAGCACCCTAGGCATGGTTCCCTTGGATTTCTTCCCAGGAAACGCGCTTCTCGACACAGGGGAAAGGTGAAGGCATTTCCTAAGGATGACCCTACCAAACCATGCAGACTGACTGCATTCTTGGGTTACAAGGCTGGCATGACTCACATTGTGAGAGAAGTTGAGAAACCAGGATCAAAATTACATAAAAAAGAAACATGCGAGCCCGTCACAATAGTCGAAACTCCGCCTATGATCATTGTGGGAGTAGTGGGATATACAAAAACTCCCCGGGGTCTTCGATGCTTAAACACTGTTTGGGCTCAACATCTCAGTGAAGAGCTACGCAGAAGGTTCTACAAGAACTGGTGCAAGTCCAAGAAAAAGGCCTTCACCAATCATTCTCGGAAATTTGAAACAGAGGAGGGAAAGAAGGACATCCATTCCCAGCTGGAGAAGTTAAAAAAATACTGCTCCGTTATTCGTGTGTTGGCTCATACCCAGATACGAAAGATGAAGGGGCTGAAGCAGAAGAAGGCTCATGTTATGGAAATCCAGGTGAACGGAGGGACCATTGCTCAAAAAGTGGACTATGCTTATAGTTTCTTTGAAAAGCAGGTGCCTGTGGATGCAGTTTTCCAAAAGGATGAAATGATTGATATAATTGGTGTCACTAAGGGTAAGGGTTTTGAAGGTGTTGTCACCCGTTGGGGTGTCACCCGTCTCCCTCGTAAGACCCACAGAGGACTTCGTAAGGTTGCATGCATTGGAGCATGGCACCCTGCCAGGGTTTCCTTCACTGTTGCTCGTGCAGGTCAGAATGGGTACCATCACCGTACAGAGTTGAACAAGAAGGTGTATAAGCTTGGCAAAGCTGGACAAGAGTCCCATTCTGCGTCCACTGACTACGACAGGACTGAAAAGGATATTACTCCCATGGGCGGCTTCCCTCACTATGGTGTGGTAAAGGAGGACTATTTGATGATCAAGGGTGGCTTTGTCGGTCCCAAGAAGAGGGTCGTCACTCTTCGCCAGTCATTGCTCAGACAAACCACCCGCAGTGCCAATGAACAGATTAACCTCAAGTTCATTGACACCTCCTCAAACACCGGGCATGGCCGTTTCCAAACCACTGATGAGAAGCAAAAGTTTTATCGCCGAGTCAAGGCATAGGCTGCACATTGTTATTAACTTTCCTTTTCAAAGACATCAAGTTTTTGACTTGTGTTTCTGGCTGTGGGCTATTTGTTTGGTCGTTGAAGAAATACATTTTTGTTTTTCAAAAAAAAAAAAAAAAAAAAAAAAAAAAAAAAAAAAAATTAATGCTAATAGTGATACTAATTATAATGATACTCTAATTAACCGTAACACTAATACTAACACTAATTCTAATAATAACAATCTTTTTTTAATTCCCGAGAATCACCACTTAAATCTGGCAAAAAAGATGTCCTCCAACCCAACTAGTGACTAGAATATTCTTGCGAGGGAGATCCAGCCGCCCTTGCGCGTTCCGGTCAGCCAGCATCCCTGAAGAGGGTCGCCCCATTTTTATGAATGAAGAATGCTTGCTTGGCCAGGGAGGGGAGTTGGTCTGAAGTGAAGTGCTCTACTGACCGGTTCGTTTGTCCTCTTTGAGCGAGAGAGTGTGGTACGGCATTAGCCTCACGAGGACGGTGGATGAAGGAGATCTGTTTTGCAACCGCCATCTTCCGAATTGACTGGATTGCCGGAGAAAGGTATGATGGTACTTTTTGAGTGCCGTTCGTCATTTGGATGCAAGTCAGTGAGTCATTTTGAGTTTGAAACTTGTTATAACCCTTTTCCGTTATTATTGAAACTGAGGTAAGCATGGATGTAATTTCTGCGTGAAGAGGGTTGCATGCTTGAATCGGGAATGAGAATGCTTCTATCAGGTCACCGTCTATGTTCTGGAGTATTGCACCACCTTATCACATACTATGTAGTTAACAATAGTTACTGTAAGTAAAGTTATCACTATAATCACTTCATTTAGAAACCACACTTTTATAATCAATATTATTTTAATCATTAATATATAATTATTTCTTATTATTATCATTATTATTTAGGATAATAGTATGACTAATAGACTAATAGTCTAATAGTATATTGAAACAAAGTTCAATTTAATAACAAATGGAGTAGTTGGTTTGCTCACTTGCGGATGTACGAGTCTATGTTCAAAACCGACTGGCCGGAGCTTTATACTATATATGTACGAAGTAGGGTCTGTTTGCAACAGCTTCTGCTTTTAAAAAAGTGCTTTTTTTAATGAAATGAGGAAAAGTGATTAAATAAAAGTTGATAGTGTTTGAGAAAAAAATAATTTTGAAAAGTAAAAGTGAGTAGTGTTTGGTAAAATAAGTGCTTTTTGTGTAATAGAAAAAGTAAAAGCACTTTTGACGCGGAAGCCGAGAAAAATAAAAGTTGTAGTGTTTGAGAAAATAAGTGCTTTTTTAAAGCCAAAAGCTGAAAAGTGCTTTTTTAAAAGCAGTTGCAAACCAACCCGTACTCCGTATATGTTTAGAATTTTGGTGTCTTCGTTTGCCATTCAGTTTTCCCACAACGGAGGGAAGATGAATTGCTCTATAACGTTTCTCCGTAATTTATGCTTCTCCATAAATAGGGCATTTGTGGACCAAATATTGGTTTTATTTTGAATGAACCAAATACCGGTTTACATTATTGGACATCAATTATGTCTGCATTACTGTATGGCGTAGAGGTTGGGTGGTGAAACAATAATGTCATATTAAAAAAATGAGTTGACAGAGATGCGGGAGTAGCACCTATTGAGGATGCGAGAGTCGCGCCTACGGTGATTTAGTCATGTGCGTAGAAGATCGAGTGATGCACCTGTCAGACGAGTTGAGATGTGTGAAGAAGAGGCAAGGAAAAGAGGTATGCATGATATATTATGGCTTTAGAGAGAGCAAAGTGAATGGTAGATATTTGTATGGGAGAGTGATCTCGTATTATCCTTTCCCCTCATCTGTTTTTTTTTCTTTTTTTAATCCTTTATCCTTATATATATATATATACATTATCTTTATCCTTTTTATTTTATCATATTGAGGTATATTCATCTCTTTTTTATATTATCTTTTTTATAATAGCTTATCTTTTTATCTTTATTTTGTTGTGTTGTTGTATTATTGGATTATAAATATTGGTTTATAAATGTGCCTTTTAGAACACTAATCACTCGTGTAATCGATCACCAGTGGTTCGTTCATGATTGACAAGCCATATCAAGTTCAATTTAGTTCCTCCTAGCTTTTTGAACACAGCTTTCTTCGTCAGAACTACTTCAAGGATTTCCTCATTTTCATTAACAAAGGCTTGTCTCTGCTTGTATCTGATCTTTTGAGGCACCTCTTGTACTTGATATTTATTGATTAGGGCAAAATAAAAATCTTTTTTGTAATATCCGGTTCCCTGCCGTACAAAATTACTTCAGTAATACACGAGTTTTGAGTTTTTGTATATTACCATAAAAATCAAGAGGCTCAACTCGATTAGACGGACCACAATGTTTATAGACGGCCCTGCTGTTGTGTTCCTAAAGTTGATTTTTTTGAATATTTTTCTTAAAGTTGATTGGCAAGTCTATTTATCGCCCATTATAATTATAAATAATACAACATAATCCGACTCACGTCAAAGATTTCGGCGGAAAAAGGACATATAGGGGAAAAGGAACATACTCCGTATAAAATAGGAAGATGAAGACAATTCCCCATATATTATCATCATGTAAACATGCGTAGTGGAAAAATCCAAAAAACATTCTCGACTTTTTTGATAAAACGTACACATAAACAAACATTATTTGGAGATATATTTACTTATTTTTATTTGAAGTATGATGCGAAATATATTTATTTTTTTATTTGAAGTATGATGCTGAGATGAACAATTCTCGAGAAGACATTCTTAACCCCTTAGAATACACCAGCTTAAATTGTGAGATGTGTAATGTGCAAATTGACTCTCATATTCTTAATGTTAGTCTTACATGTTCAAAGTTACGATGCAAGAATCAAAGTATAGGAAAACGAAAAATGTCTGAGAATTTGATGGTCAGAAATAGCATATAGTTACTATTGAATTTTACTTAGCCTTTTAAATGTGTTTACAAAACTGTAATCACTAAAGTCATAATGGACAATTAACTACAACATTAACATGTTATTGTGAATATTTTGGGAAAAGGTACTCCAATAGGAGTCCTGGCCTGTATATTTATACTAAAAGAGTTTAATACAGCATAATAGGAAACAAATATGCCTAATAATATTCTATTACACCCCCTCAAACTGTGAGGGAGATAAAACACGCAGGTTGTCTTTCAAAAAACAAAATTACTGACTAGAAAGGCTTTTGGTAAAAATGTCAGCTAACTGTAACTGTGTGGGAATGTATTGTACAACTAAGTCTCCATGAGCCACACGTTCTCGAACAAAATGATAGTCTATCTGAATGTGCTTGCTACGAGCATGCTGAACTGGATTAGCAGTCAAATAAGAAGCAAAGATGTTATCACACAATAATTTAACTGGTGCAGTAACAGGATAACCGAGCTCAAATAATATAGAACGAATATGCAGAGTATCCTGAACAGTATAAGCAACGGCTCTATACTCAGCTTTTGTAGAGGACTTGGAGACAGTGGGCTGCTTTCCAAAAACACTGCAAAGCCAGTCGGGGACCGAGATGTATCCGGACAACCTGCCCAATCAGCGTCGGAGTAAGCAATGACATAGGTTGCCCGAGATGTAGGCTGAAGCCACAAACCATGATCAAGAGTCCCTTAGCTTGCAAGTACCTGAAAATTCTCTTGACTGCAAAAAGATGAGTAGTACGAGGAGCATGCATAAATTGAGACACTAAATGCACAGCATAGGTAATATCAGGTCGTGTCAAAGTTAAATATTGAAATGCATCAACCATACTACGATACTCAGTGGCATCAGCAAGAAGTTCCCCATCAGTGAGAGATAAAGAAGTGCGAGTAGCAAGCGGTGTACGAACAGACTTTAAAGTATGAAGATGAAAGCGAGAGAGATCAGACACATATTTATGTTGAGAGAGAAACAAACCTTTAGCGGAGCGAACAGCCTGGACTCCTAAAAAATAATGAAGATCACCCAGATCTTTCATAGCAAAATGCTTAGCAAAAAGCTGAATAAAAGCGGTGATAACAGCGGAAGAATTGCCAGTAATAATTATGTTATCAACATATAGTAATAAATAAATGACATTATTATTCTGGTGATAATGAATAATAAATTATCAGACTTGCTGCATGTAAAATGATGAGATAGAAGAAAACTACTAAACCTATGAAACCAAGCTCGCGGGGCTTGCTTAAGACCATAAATAGCCTTGCTCAGTAAGATGAATAAAACCCCGTGGCTGACGCATGTAAACCTCCTCAGTAAGATGACCATGTAAAAATGCATTCTTAACATCCAATTGACGAATGACCCACCCAAAAGAAATGGCTAGTGTAAGAACAATATGAACAATGGTGGATTTAATGACTAGACTAAAAGTTTCAGAAAAATCCACACCTGTCTGCTCATTAAACCCCTGAGCAACCAAACGAGCTTTATGTCGCTCAATGGACTCATCAGAATTATATTTAGTCTTATAAATCCACTTGGAGCCCACAACCTTTCATAGTATTATCAAACAGAACTAAATCCCAAGTATTATTAGAAATAAGAGCATTAAATTCCTCCCCCATTGCCTAACGCCATTTTAAGTGTTTATTAGCCTCTATAAAACAAGTAGGGTCATGTTTATTAGCCTCTGATAAAGCAACTGTGTTGAGATTAAAAATTGTTTTTGGTTTAAAAATTCCTGACTTAGCCCGGGTTTGCATGGGATGATTGTTTGTAAGTTGGCCATGAGACAGAGAAGAACTCTGTTCACTGGCCGTGGACTGCTGCAACTCCGGGATGTCATCGGGAATCGAGGCAGTAGCTTCAGACGCAGCAGTGGAAGAGGCTGGGCTGCCGGGCGAAATAGTTGAGGCATGGTTGTGGGGAGTAGATTGGTCGGACTTGATAAGTGGAGTCTGTAGAGGAGTGATGGGCGTGGAAGCTCCTGGAGCATGGGAGGTGTTTACTGATGCAGGGAGTTGACATAGGTTAGGCAAAGTAGGTTGCAGACTAGGCTGAGGGGCTATGGGAGGCACATGAGTAAGGTCGGTAAATGATCCTAGGGAA